ACCAACTTAGTTAAGATCTCTAGTAAGGAGACATGTGGTCCTTGTGTATATCCTTATAGCACAACATCATTTCTAGGATTTTCTTGCCAACAAATGTCCCACTGCAGTCTAAAAGCATCAGATAGTATCAGACAACCCCAAAATAGGAAATACTGTACAAAATAACTGGCCTGGACTCTTCAAAATGTCAAGGTAATGAAAAACAAAGACTGAGCAACTGTCAGATTGGAGAAGTATGACAGACATGACATCTAAATGCAAGGTGGTAGCCTGGGTTGGACCTTGGACTGAAAAAAAGGACATTAGTGGAACAGCTTGTTAAATTTGAATAAAGCCTGTAGATTAAATAATCTTATTGTACCAATTTAAATTTCTTGATTTTAAGAATTAACTATGATTATGTAAGATGTTAACATCAGGGGCATTTGGGGAAATTCCAACTAGGAACGCTATATACAGGTTTTTTCAATTTTTTGCAAGTCTGAAGTTATTTTCAAATAAAATGCTAAAGAATGTTTCTGGCATGATTTTTAATTATTTGGAATGTTTTGGTTGGCAGGAAGGATAATTGCATACCAGGAGATACCCCCTTTATAATCTCTTCTTAGTCTCTTACATTTTCAGTTTGTCAGTCAATTTTAGATTCTTTGTATTTTTCTTCAAAGAAAAAAAAGAAGATTGTGTCCTTTTATCTGTGGTCTGATGGAACCTTTCAATTATCATCCTTACATAATTTTTCTAATTTTCTAATTGTGGAAATGCAAGCTTTGAGCAATAGTGACTTAGTTCCAAATAATATCCATGGGATGTTAACCAAATAGAACCAGGAATTTAAGTCTTTTTTTTTTTTTTTCAAATTGTGATTTGAGTGAAAGTTTACAGAACAAATTCATTTTCCATACAGTAGTTCATACACATTTTGTTTCATGACACTGATTGTGGTCCCCATAATGTAACAGCTCTCTTCCCACTTCCTGCTGTAGTTATGTTATCCCTGTGTCCTTTCCTATGCATCCCTGCCCTCTAAGCTATCTCTCTGTGCAAATACTGCCCTTCGGATCTCCCATGAGTGATTGTTCTAAGGCGTGTACCTACTTGGTGTAAATGTTCACCTTACATGCCTGTCTGTTGTTTGGCTGGAAGCTACAGGAGTCTGTTCAATTCCAGGCCAAAAGAGTGACTAGGGGCCATAGTCTTGGGGGCTTCACCAGTCTCTATCAGGACAATAAGCTTGGTCTTTTTTTATGATTTTGAGTTTTGGTCCACATTGTTCACCCACTCTATCCAGTATCTCCTGCTTTGATCCCTTTCTGAGCAGTTGATGGTGGTAGCCAGTCACCATCTAGTTCTGGTCTCATGGTAATATAGGCTGAGATTCTTATGGTCCCCTAGTCCCTTGGACTAATGTTTCCATATGTCTTCGATTTTCTTCATTCTTCTTTGCATCGGATGAGAAGAGACCAATTGTTACATCTTAAATGGTTGCTTGTAAGCTTTTTCTTTCTTTTTTTAAAATTTTATTGTGATTTGGGTGAAAGTTTACAGAGCAAATTCATCTTCCATACAGTAGTATGGAAGATACTGTGGGCTGTCCCAAGCCCACAGGTCCAACAACTCACTCCCTCAGGGTGGTTGGCTGTGGCTAAGAAGTTATCATAACTTTGCCCCTTGTTAGTTCTATTCATATGGACATTCTTACAACATATACAAGTACATATGTAGAAATATCATTTGCCAACCTTATAGGAATTTTATTTTGTCTCATCCTTTTACCAGGTCCAGCTTTCTGTCACGTAAAACGCAAAGTGTGATAGAAACATTTCAAAAACTTAGCACTAATTTGCAATATCCAGTGGACAAGATCAGAGTAGGGTTAGATCTTTTTTTTTAATCTTACGTGTATTTATTGCCTTCCCATTAATTTAAATCTCTTGAAAGCAGCTTCTGTTGTTGTTGGATGCCATCAAATCAGCTCCTGACTCAGCAGTCCCAGAAACACTGCCTGCTCTGTTGGGGATTGGACCATTGTGTGGCCAGGAATCGAACCTGGTCTCTCACATGGAAGGGGATAATTCTGTCATTGAACCTCCAGTGTCTCGTGCAGCTTCTGTGTCTCCTGTCTATTGTATCCTCAGTCGTCCAGCCCAGTGTTGTTGATCAGTATGTGGTGAAGAGGCAAGTCTAAATAGCAGGGACTGCAGAAGAGAATGGTGTGCTCTGACATTATCTTTATTCTAAAGGATTAAATAGAGTGACAAATAATGGAATTAACTTTGATTTTGTGATCATAAAGTTCAATACAACAATGGTTTTTACATCATTAAGACTTAATTCCATATGAACTTTTGACCTATAAAAAAAATAGAAGATACAAAATAAGAGACAAAGACATATCAGAGACCTCTGCTACCCTTGCTGGCAGTAATGTGTATGCTGAATTAAACGTATCTTTCTAACTTAAAATTGAATGTCTGTCTCTGCTGTTATGACTTTTTACTGCATTAATTTCTGTCATTTACTCATTAGCATTTCATTGATGTCTAAAATATCTTACCTCCTGTGTGCTTTTTCTTCTCTAAAGTGGATTTGACTTAGCTGTTACATAAATCTTCCAGCATTGAACTTTAAATCAGAATTTTTTTTTTGAGTTAACTTGGAAGAGTTTAAAGAAGGTCTTCATCAGTCCAGATGAAGTCCATTTTAGATGGGGGAAAATAGGGCACATATCCCATATTTTCCTGGAGGATCATAGACCTCAAGTAGTTTACAGGGAATCATTGTTTTTTTGCTAGTCTCTTGAACCCAAATGGTACCATCCCCAAGTCACCCCAGCCCCAAAGTTGAAGTAGCCTTAGGTTATTTGTTCCGGTATTAATCAGTGACCAAGTTAGATATGAATCATTGTTTTTTTGCTATTAAATGTTTTGTTCCTCTCTTTATCTGTAATAGAAATGGCATCCTAGCCACAAGACATGTTTTTGGCTTTTCCTTTCTAACAGGACTTGGACTAGCAATGCATGATAATCAAGATTGCAGGGCCCCATGAAGTGATTTTTGTCAGAAAAATCTTGCTAAGAAGATACTATTTCCTCGGTGACAAATGATTCCAGCTATCTACTTGATCTTAGGTTTTGTTTTTTTTTTTTTTTTAAATTGTGATCTGGGTGAAAGTTTATGAAGCAGATTCGCTTTCCATACAACAGTTCACATACACTTTGTCTCATGACATTGACTACAGTTTACCCCAATGCAACAGCTCCCCTCCCACTTCCTCCCGATAGTTACCTCTTCCCTGTGTCCATGCCTCCATGCACTCCTGCCCCCTGAGCTGCCTCCCTTTGCATAAACAGCCCTTCTTTCTCAATGATTGATCTCTCCAAGGAGTATATCTACCTCAGATAAATGTTCATCTCATATGCGTGACTTTTGTTTGGCTAGAAGCCACAGGTGTGGGTACAATTCCAGACCTGAAGGACAGCTAGGGGCCATAGTCTCAGTGGTCTCAGTGGTTCCACCAGGCTCTATCAGACCAGCAAACCTGGTCCCCCCCCCCCTTTTATTTTTTCCCCAAATGATCTTGAATTTTGTTCCACATTGTTCTCCCTCTCTATCTAGGATCTCCTACATAGATCTCCCTCTGAGTGGTTGACAGTGGTAGCCGGGCACCATCTAGTTCTTCTGGTCTCATAGTCATATAGGCAGCAGATCACATGATGTACCAGTTGCTAGGACTAATTGTTTCCATGAATCTTTGGTTTTCTTCATTCTTCTTTGCTCTGGATGAGGAGAGACCCATTGTTGCATCTAGATGGCTGCTTGCAAACTTTTAAGATCTCAGTCACTACTCACCAAAGTAGGAGGTGGAACGATGGTTTGTGTAGTCTGTTATGCCAGTTGATCTTGATGTCCCCTGCAACTATGTTGACCTTAGTTTTTAAGGATCTAAAACCTAGAATCATAGTCAATAAAAAAAAAAAAATTAAGCAGAATATAGAAAGAAGGTAGCATCTTTCATGTGTCCACAAATAATTTGGGAAGTCCAAATATTAAAATTTTGTTGCCTGGTCTTGGTAACCAAAATCCATGTCAAACCAGTTGCTGTTGAGTTGATCCTGATTCACGGTGACTCCACATGTGTCAGAGTAGAATTGTGTTCCATAGGGTTGTTGTTGTTGTTGTTGTATGCCGTCGAATCAGACCCAACTCATAGCAACCCCTCCTTGGGTTTCTGAGGCAGTATCACTACGGAAGTAGATTGCCCAACCTTCCTTCTGAGGAGTGGC